GTATAATCAACAATGGAAACGAAGTACAAATTGCCAACAAGCGAACGAGGAACTTCTCCACCCGGCCAGCGATTAGGGAGGCCAAAGCGAAACAAGGAGACCCATTTCACAGCTGTCGGAAGGGCCATGTTCAAGCCCAATGCACTCATGACAGCGAGGAGGATGCGAAACGTGAGCCCCAGCAGCCATCCCACAGCTGGATGCATCCCCAGAGAGACTTCTCCCACTCTGGCACATGTACGCAGAGGCACATCTGAATGTCATTCCAACACAGAAACCAGGAACGACCTGCATAGGCCCTCAGTGAGGATCACGGTCTGCTCACACAACAGGCAAAATGAATGAATCATCGATACACGCCAACGTAGAGAAATATCTATAGGACGCTACAGGGTGAGAGTCACATAGAAAGAGGCGTGGCATCCTACTGTGTGCACGTGTTGAAAAGATCTGCTGTTGAGCAAACAGTGAGAACCTCCAAGTCATGCAGTGGAAACGCAACAGGTTTAAGAAGGTGGGTATGGTCATGGGCGGGGGGTGGGGGAGGGATGGGAGGGCACCAAAGTCATGGCAGAGAGGAAGGGTGGGAAGGGTCAAGCACAGAACATAGGCAGGACTTCAATTCATTCAACGCTCAACACACACTGACCAAGCGCCACGCTCTTCTAGCCGCTGGGGATGAGCACAGAAACGGAGAAACATCTCGGCTCTCTGGATCTTTCGCTGCAGCGGAGAGACACACACAGAACAGGACAAAGAAGTAAAATCTACATGACTTGCATCTGACATGCTAAGAAGTTCTGTGCAGCGAGGCCACGCAGGGAAGGAGGTGACAAATGTTGGTGGGGGAAATCTGTAATTGATACTCAACAAGAAAGAGAAGGAAGACCGCCCCGGGAAGGCGGCACCTCCATCGAGACTGAAGGAGGAGGAGGGAGACAGATGCGTAAGGGGACCGAGTGTCACGTCCCGGGAAGGACAAGGCCTGCGGTGGAGGGCATCTTAGGAAATGAGGCAGACAGGGAACTAGGGGGAGCTGGAGGCTGGGACCGTGACCTGCGCTTGCCACTGAGTGAGGCGGCAGGCTCTAGACCAGAGGGACATCTTAAAACATGGGCATCTTAACGGGTACATAGTAACAGCACCAGCCAACCATCACGCTCGAGGGTAGCCCTGGAGAGATCGTGGCCTGGACCAGGGTGATCGTGACGACACACAGTCAGATCCCCAAAATACCAAAGGGATTCACCAACAGAACAGACACTGAGTGGGAGCAACAGACAGTCAGAGGTGACCCAGTCTTCTTTACTCTATAACGCCTCATTTCATTTTTTAAAAATCCAAATCAGGGGCGCCTGGGTGGCTCAGTGGGTTAAAGCCTCTGCCTTCGGCTCAGGTCACGATCTCAGGGTCCTGGGATCGAGCCCCGCATCGGGCTCTCTGCTCAGCGGGGAGCCTGCTTCCTCCTCTCTCTCTGCCTGCCTCTCTGACTGCTTATGATCTCTGTCTGTCAAATGAATGAATAAAATCTTTAAAATATAAATAATAAATAAATAAAATAAAATAAAAATCCAAATCAAATGCAGCTAAACGCCAGCACCTGCTTCAGGAGTGTCGGTATTTGTTACTTTCTGTCCCCTCTGGTAGGTCTGAAAGATAGCAGATCACCAAGTGGGGAAAGTTCATCAGTCAGAGTCTGAGCCTTTTCTTTAGGAAAAGACCGTACCAATGAGGGGTCGCTACTCTGCGTCTCGATAAGAATGAAAAACACACCTGTACCTCTGAAGTCATGTTAACAATGTAAGCACCGATTACTAGAGGCCAAACAGCGGAGACATGTGCTGGAATAAGCAGATTACTTCCAGCCCTTGCACACCCATTTTACAACAGACTTGCAACCAAAGGAAAGGCTTAATATTTTCTTCGAAATCCCCCTGGACGGGATGTTGGCTCTTCTCCTTCTACGCCTCATCCTTCACGTGACACGCCAACAAGGTTAAATCAAGTAGTTTAAAAACAGCAAGTCACGGCTGATAACCTATATACACTTTGGCTTAGCTGATTTATCTACTCGCTTGATTACCTTTTATAGTGCCTATAATATTGAATTGTCCTGTGCTGGTTTTAAGTGAATGGAATAAAACTTCCAAGGTTCTGTCCTTTCCTTACCAGGAAAGCATCTGCTCTCCCAGAGACCTATTGAAACCTGCCTACAGGTTCTAGCTTACACGCTTTCTGTCCTTAAAGTCGGGAGACAGATTATTTTTTTTAATTAAGAAATAAAGTCAAAACAATGTAGGTATGGGTCTATGTTCTCTGCAAATCTTCCCAGACCATCAGGTATCTCTTCTTTGATCAGCTGCTTCCCACTGGGGAGCGAGTAGGCTATCTTTTCAGGACCAGGCAGTACATTGTAACCGTAAGCAGTGTTTCCATTTCTAACAGAAATCCAAACGATGTTAATGTTATTATGTTCGTGGAAAACATGCACACAAGAAAACAGTGAAACTCACTTCTCAACATGTATAATAAATCCTACATACCCTATGTATAAAGCTCAGAATTTAAGTTAAAAATAACTTTTATAAGAAGAGCATCTATGCCTGTATGTTAATAAAGCAAAGAATGGTTTGAAAAAATTCTAGAGAAGGATCCCCACCCTGCCGTGGACACGTAACCCATGTGACAAACTACCTCAGGAGGAAACCATAAAATCACCACCACAGAAACCTCCAGCAGCACCTCTCCATTTTAATTTGCTTTAATTACAAAAACAAATATATTTTACTTACGTGCATAACATATATATAAATATCCAACAAATATATTCCCACAAAATGATAGGAGCTCAGTAATTAAAGCCAAGACTCTGCTGTAACCACAGGCACTTGAAAAGATTATACCCTAGAACTGTAATTCTCCAACTATATTTCTCCAAATATCAGGGAATGCAATTATCCAATAGGCGCACCCATTTTCTAAATAAGTATCCAAATTACACCAACATTCTCTTTTCCAAAACGTATTTCTAACACTTAAATTTCATAATAAATATATTTAAAATATCTATAGACATTTGGTGAACATTTTGGTAAACCAAAAATCTGGGAGACATTTAACCCCCGCCTAATGGAATAATCGAGCAGCCGAAATGCATCTACGAATATTTTCCCCTTTTGTTCACCCAACTCATTTTTTCTTTAAATTCTTAAATAGATCTTGTTACTACTTGGGAATTTAGAAAGTCCAACCACACAGCATTTTGGGTATCTGGAAGTCTTTCTTCAATGACAGGGACCCTCCGTACAAACGCTCTGGTTCCATTAGCCAGCACGAGGTTAGAGATGGTCGGTGGGACGTTCAAACGCAGCAAGTGACCTGTCGCTAGATTCTGCAGCAGAAAAAGACTTCCCTGATCTGTTCCCAGGAGATCATCACAGTGAAAATGCTGTAGGACCATCAGAGAGGATTATAAAGATACCTAGACTCGTGTCATTGTTTGACTCTGCAGAGCACTCGCAGGGTCCCGTTGGTGTCCCATGTGACAGTCTTGAAAACTGAAAGGCCATCTGGCCAGTCGCCCATGAGGACCAACGCGGAGGGACCAACACGGAGGCACCCGCAAGGCCTCAGGAACTGGGTCTTCACCACAGGGCCACACAGACTTGGGAGGCCAACCCCCTCGCTGCTACTTATCAGTGCTGTGATGTGGCCTCAGGTGGGTCCCGGAAGCTCTCTGCGACGGAGCCCCGTCCCGAGGCCATGCTCATTTTGGGGACAAAATGAGTTAGGCATGTTCAACAGGGTAAACCATGGTCTCTAAAAGTTCACCACACTGTGACAAGCCCACGCTCTGCCACCGCAGTCCCCTAACGAGAAGGGTCAACGGTGGAGGTGGAAACACTCAACAGGCATCCCCCAGTGGGGGTGAGCGTGGAGGATGGAGTGGGAGAGAAGCCCGGCGGAGCACAGGGCAGACAAGCGAGGTGGGAGCAGCAGGAGAGGCTGCATCTAGGACGAGGCATCTGGAACCTAACCTCCCCCAGGATATTAGCCCCCCAACATGGTGAACGCTACCCATAATCCAGTCCCTGGCCAGCTGAGAAGGTCAGTGCGGAACCCCCATATTATTTGTGGGTCGCTACTGGAATCCCGCCGTAAGTTTACTCTTCCAGGGAATCGCTTCCCCTTTTCCCTTCGATTATTCTAACACTCCCTCTGTGTTCCTTTCCGCCCACTCTCCTTCCATCTGGCTGCTCTCTTCCATCACCTCGGTTAGGGACAGCACACTGCATGCGAACCCCAGGCGCAGTCCTTACCAAAAGGAATGTGGTACGTGGTCCCAGTTTGAAATTATGTGCATGCAACCCAGCTCCCAACTGAATTATTTTTATGTATTATGGCATCAAATTGTTGGCTATCAGAAGAGTGACCGAGTTCTGGGGAAAATTTAAATTACTGGAAATTAAAATGTTAAGAAATGCTTCTTCAACATATGGTTGCATTTTTTTTGTTTGGTTTGGTTTGGTTTTTATTTTTGCATAGCGTGGAGTCCAACGCGGGGCTCGAACTCACGACTCCAAGATCAGAACCTGAGCTGAGATCAAGAGTCGGATGCTCAACCAACAGAGCCACCCAGGTGTCCCTTGTTGCATTTTTAAACCCACTTCTAGACACATTTAAGCGCTGAGCCAACCCTGATGACCTAGCGATGCTGTGTCCTCTGTCATGCACACGAGCAGCTCCGCACATGATAACCAACAGAGAACCGGGGTGGACAGAAGTGGATTTCTCGAGAAGCCCAAAGTCACGCACCTCACCAGGGAGGGAGCTGGGATAGACTCCTGCGTCAAGCCACCTGCGAGACACATTCTTCCCACAATGTCAAAATAGTTTGCAACCTCAACTTCTGGAGATTAACAAAGCCACGCTTCGGTGACAGTACGATGCCCCCGTCCCCCGAACCACCTGAACTATGCATATTTTCACAGAATACGAACCTTTGGGAGGCGTGAGATTGACTCCATTTTTAAGGCACCATTGTACTGGTAAAATCCCCAAAGAATCCGCATGGCACAGCATCGAGAGATTACTAGGTTCTGCCCTTAGGTCGTCAATAGTCACTTGAAAAAAATGATTGTTAAAAACCTGCAAGAAAACACAGACCACAGAGCCAAGGGTTAATTTCGTGGGATTTTCCTGAAAAGCTAGTATGAGATGCTGGCACCACTTCCAAAGGCAATAAATACATTTCATCAAAATGATTTCAGCACGAACCGGCCCCTCAGTGTGTATTATGAAATTGGTCCAGGTACGAACCAGTTGATCGGTGATCACCACAGCCATTTTAACGGCAAGAGAAGCGAATGAGTAATATTCACATAAAACAGAGAAGGAAACAACACGGGTGTCTTTAGGGAAGTCAACTGACGTCCAGGGCTGCGAGAAAACCAAACTTACACAGGGAGACAAGGCCAGGCTTACGGCAACACCAAGACGGGCCCTGAAAGGTCAGTGGTTTCTTCTTGTCCACACCTGGGACCCACGCGCTCACACCAGATCACTCAAGAAGCTCCACTGTCGGGCTTGGGGACTTCTGGCTTCATCCTGCCTCCCAGCCCTGTAACCACCACAGGCTCCAGCCCAAGATCACCCCGTCCACCCCCCCAGGCACACCCTCCCAGCCTCAACACCCACTGTGCCAAAGCTCTTCCAAAACAGCAGTGTCTTTTTGCAAGGTGGCCCCTGAAAGTCAATGCTGCTGGAACATTTTCCTGACCACTCCTATTCGAGTACAGGCCCCCAGAGCTTCACCCTGCAAGTTCTCTCTGTCCCGGAGATCCTCATTCCTGCCTGGGGACTGATCCCAAATCGGTCTCCCCCTACAGATCCTCTGAGGGCAGTCTCCTGTCTTCAGTGAAGAAGCAGGAACAAGGCATACCGATGGGAAGAGCAGAACGCAAAACGAGATGGGCCCGGCACTTTCAAGCACGATGGGGTTGAAGAATCTAGTATGTGAACCAGGCCAGGAAGAAAGACATCACTTTACGAGCTTGACAGGCATAACCCAGTCTTTCTTACAAAATCCTAACACTTACTAAAAAGCTAGGATTCCTGGCTCCTTCATTGACAAAATATCATCCGGAAGCACTCTGATTAAAAGCAAAGCGGCAGAGCGCACTCCTTTCTGTTCTTCTCGATGTTAATTTTGGTAAATGGCTACCGTGGTGCTGCCCGAGGTCTGCCTTTGAAAGTAGACTTGACAGAGCAAAGGACCAAACCTCACCTTCCCAGAGAGATCTTCCCTGCGGCCTGATTTAAAATCACATCCCACACGCTGGCCTTCCACCCTCCGCTAGTCCCTCCCCTGCTGCGTCTCTCTCCTTAGCACCGAACATGTAAACTTCTATACAGATTTACTGATTTTATTTGTCTCTGCCCCCCTCCCATTAAAATATAAGCTCTGTAAAAGCAGGGACTTTTGTCATTCCCAGTGTCCAGAGTAGTGCCTACAAAACCCAGTGGAGTGGGATTGGGTCTTGCATGTGCATGCACGGACACACACACACACACACACACATAGACGGATAATTAAAGTGTGGGATTCTGCTGGCTGAATCTCTTAGCACCACTCGACCCCGTAAGGACCACACTAAGGAATCTCCAAAACCTAGTAAAATGCATATTCATGTGTGCATACTTCAGAAAAAAAGCTCTATTAGTTTCTTCAAATCCATCAGGGTCATGGCCCACATGGTCCAGAAACATCGATCTGGTCCAGAACCTGCAGGTCTCAGAAAAAGACCCTACAGTTAACCAACCAGCCCAGGACTGCGCTGCTCAGAGCTAGCCAGAAAAGGGGCAGAACCAAGACTGTTGATCTAAACAACAGGACAGATTTCACACACACACATATGTCATCATCACCACCATCTGTCAGTATCACCCTGTTTTGGATCACCGGAAACTTAATCTATAATCTCACTGTATGGTGGGACATGTCATCCCGGATCTGCTACAGTCAGCCACCTCCTTGTCTATTGGCTTCAATATTATTTGTTTATTTCTTCAACGGGTGTGCCATGAAGAAAAGCCTTGAGGAAAATGAAAATGAAGTTTTCATTATGATGAGTAGTAACAGCGCAGCGTTATATGCCCAGACATAATATTCCAAAACCTTTTCCAATGTTAGGAGGAACAGGCTTAATTATAGTGACTACATTAGGAATATCCTGATATTTTACTCTCTGTAGGGAGCCCTGAACGTGGGGACGTGCCCACATGTGCTAAGGGGCCAGAGTGCATATTTCAATCCATGTGTCCACAACACAGGGCCAAGAGGAGAAGAAAAAGGGATGCATGTGGGACAGAAAGACGGAGTGTGTGATCTTTGGTAAAAAGGCTAAGAAAAGCTAAAATGAAAAAGAAAATGTACCTTTAAAAAAAAATCAAGAGGGGCACCTGGGTGGGGCAGTGGGTTAAAGCCTCTGCTTTCAGCTCAGGTCATGATCCCAGAGTCCTGGGATCGAGCCCCACATCGGGCTCTCTGCTCAGCGGGGAGCCTGCTTCCCCCTCTCTCTGCCTGCCTCTCTGCCTGCTTGTGGTCTCTGTCTGTCAAATAAATAAATAAAATCTTGAAAAAAAATCAAGAGAAAATAGCCTCCCTGGCCCCATCCTCAATAAGACCTATTTAGAGAGAAAATTATTTATCGGGAAACCAAACTACTGTTAGTGGAAATCTATCCAACAAGATGAGGATATCTGGGCCGCGCCCAACCGTAAGGAGTGTGCCACATTCTAACACGATCACTTACAACTATTTACAGGCATGAAAGTGTGAGTTCACTGCTGACAGCACTGAGCACATCTGTTCCTCTGTTTCCTTTACTATAGAAACACCAGGCAAAGTGGACACCATGGTCTCTTAGAATGAGGACCGGGTAATATCCATCCAGGTAAACTGGCAGCTGACTTCAGTGTATCGGCCACTACTGGGACAAAGGGAAAACCTAGCCAGGCTTCAGCAAATACAACTCAACAGTTCTGGGAAAATGTGCACCTACCAGAATATGCACTCAAGAACCCCAAAGGTCAATTTAAATAAAAAGGCTTTGAATGCACGGTGTATGACTGTGAGGACATAAATTGCAACCCCAAAACCGTCCTGCAAAATCTAAGTCAGTAATTTTCTCGGGCACGCAGTTATTCTTTAAATAGGTTACTGTAAGAGTTACATAAAAGTAATTTATGTTCTAAAGAAAAAATATTTGGAAAAAAGGAAAAAGGCATTTCATGATTCTAACCATTTTCCATACTCTGAAATACATTATCACCACTGTGTTTCTCAATTTTACTGATCATGAATTTAAAAAAGAGCATACAAAATGACTCCCAGACACTCATCACTGTATTAACAAATCCAGTCTTCCTTGGTAAAAGAAATTAAAATGGAATTGACTTCTGGACCGTTAATTAAGTTCTCTTGCAAAAGGCCATTAACTAAAACACACACTGGTAAGAACGCTGGGTTTCTCAGTTTCCCCGCCACCTGTTAGAGGACACTTAAGGTGGAACACATACTGTAGGTGTGACTTCCACAGGTGACTTCCGTGAGATTACCTGCATGGCCAGGGGAGATGAAAATCAAAAAGACCATCAGACCGTCATAAAAATGACTTAACGTGAAAGGTGATTTCATTTCAAATCTGCAAAACGCAGAGGCGGATTCTCCCTTTAGTGAAGGAAAGTCAGTGGCAGAAAGGAAGCCGGATGTGGGGACACACACTGCAGACGGGACACGGGTGGGCATTTCCCAGAAGCAGGTCGAACACACCGAGGACGGTCAGCTGAAGAGGACCAAGTTACTACGGCAGTGGTGACCACGTGTGACTGCCCGGCCGTTTGTGCTAAAGAGAATGGGAACAGATGCACGCATGGACGTGTCCCTGGCCAACCACAGAAGGTGGCACACACTCGTGGTGGAGTTCACTGCTGTAAACTCCGCCGTGCACCTGCCCCTCCTTCCCGGTCACTCAAGGACACGGACAGCAACAGTCCAATCCATATTAACCCCTATCTCTGCTGCAACAGGAGGCACCTGGCTCTGCACGACTGGGGACAAAGGGGGTGATTCGGACGGCGTGGCCCGGGGAGAACGCGCTCCGGCCGGTGTGCCGTGCCATTCAGCCCCGATGTGCCGTTCCCTGCACCGTGCCGCAGTCCGCCCCTGTGCCGGCACATTCCATCTGGCCCACTGTGAGCAGATCGGCCGGAGGCAGAGGTGAGGAGCAAGGGAGGGAGCTCACCTTGGTCACTGATGCAGGACAGATATGAAAGGGCTCGTTCAGATTCAGTGTTTCCAGCTTCATCCCGACTGTGAAGAAATGGCTTCGCAGATCAGCATGATCCTGCGGGGAAAAGGACAGAGACGCTGAAAGCTGACGGTATTGCAAATTAACTCGGCGCTGTCTGGACGCTCTCCTTAGACATTTTATTGGGGAACTGAGGTCGGATTGAAATCATTAACCCTCCCCATTACAAACTTCTCGTTATTGCAAGATACTGCGGATTTAGTTATTTTCCGCAGGCTCCACTGCTCCTCCGGGAGAAGAAAACAAGGCTTTGCGGCCGTGCTTCAGTTCACGCTACACAAAAAAACCCACGTGGCCCCGCTTTGGTCTTCTTAGGTGCTGCTCTGTGTGAACCACAGCAGAGTAATGAGGCAAGCAGTCATCTGAAACACACAGCAGGTGCGCCCTCAGGAAACATGGCCTCTTGCTCCTGGAGCTACATCACAGGGCTTCGGGGAAACCCTGTGGCTGACACAGCTCGTCCCGGTCTCTTGTGCCCAAGTACGTACAGCTGATCAGTTACGGGCAGTAAGTGGCCAGCCTTGGGAATGCGTGCACAGAACGGTCCAACCCAGCCGTGCACACCGTCAGAACCCGACTCCCGCTCAATAAAGATGCACAAAGCCCCGGTTTAATAGGCATCCGGCAGTTTCATAACCGACTCAGCAGCCCGCTGTGTGCCCGACAGAGTCTTCCTGCCTTCACAAGAGGACAAATTTCAGTATCCACTTTCCCTATCCGGCCGCAGGTGAGGCCGGCTGGACTCTGGATACCAGGATTCATTTTGCAGAGACGGAGGTCATCGCGGAACTCACAGCCTGGATAAATGCTGGTGAATAAAATCAACGTATATTTGCAGCCCGTCCCTGAGGGCGTTAACAGCTGCTAATAAATCCTGCTGTTTCTACACACATCGGTTGGCTGGGAAGTATGCAAGTGCGGAGGGATCTATTACTTTCTTTCACCTGCAAATCTAAGTGGGTTTTTAAATAATTCAATGATGTCATTCTGCACGCGCGACTCTGAGGATCGTCGCACAGAGTCCCGTGGGGCTGGGACGGCTCCCCTAGCCAGAGCCGGTCGGGGCACATAAGACCTGCTTACGAAACTCCCCATCCCTCCACTGTGTCACTGGCTTCAGACACCCCCAGAACCTCAAGGACCCTGTCTCACGTCGCCACAGTCGTCCGCAAAGGGATCAGTAACCCAGTGGGTGCACAATAAATCCTGGGTCTGACTGAAGCGAAGGGTGCCGCCACGTGCAAGGGAGGGGTGAGGTGGGTGACAGCCAAGAAGGGATGTGTTCGGTGTGCAACGACGTATGACAAGAAACTCACGGAGAGAGCTAGCCCGTTCTCAACCTTTACGGATTCCTTAAGAACGTAACAGCTAACACTTGACAAAAATCATAAGCATAGGAGGCAAAGCACAAGGAAATATTCTTAAAGGCAAGAGATTATTTTATTGTCTTATACTTAATACAATGGGTTTTTTAAGATTTTATTTATTTGAGAAAGAGCCAGCGAGCACAAGCGGGGGGGCGGCGGGCAGAGGGAGAAGCAGACGCCCCACTGAGCAGGGAGCCCGATACCAGGCTCGATCCCAGGACCCCAAGACCATGACCCGAACCAAAGGCAGACGCTTCACCGACCAAGCCACCCACGTGCCACGACAGTGTTGATTTTTACCGGTGGCTGGGAAGCTGGCTTAGGAAAGAAAAAAAAAAAATCAAAGAAACAGTACAGAGAATTAATGCATATTAACACACATCAAGCACAGTGCCAAGGCAGGGCCAGAAACCACAGGGGATGAGACAAAAGCGGTAAACTTGAACCAAAAAGCATGAGCTGACACCTCCATGAAAGATGGAACGTTACAGTTCCTGTCAGACACCAGCACCCCCAGTATCTCACCAGCAGCGGGAACTGAGGCATATGAATCGGTTACACAGATAAACACTTTTCCGTTTTTAATTCCCCTTCAGAAAGAAGGAGTTACTCCCAAACCATAATATAAACTTTGCCTGAATACAGTCAACAAGTTGAAGCAGTCATTGTTCTCCTGCCTGACACGATAGAAATGTCCTCAGGTACTAAGGACCCACGTGTAACTCCAGCCCAGCCTTGAGCGACGCGGCGGTTAGGGACGCCATCCTCCCACACAGTCGAGAATCTGCACGTAACTTTGGGCTTCCCCCAAAGTTACGAGTCTACCACTGACCAGAAAAGCCTTACTGATCCCATAAACAGTCGATTACCACATATTTTATAAGTTGTCTGAATGATATACCATATTCTTACAATAAAGTACCCTAGAGAGACGACGTTAGTAAGAAATTCACAGCGAGAACACATTTCCAGCACTCAACCGTATCGAGCGAAAAAAATCTGCGTGTAGATGGAGTTCACATCCATGCGGTTCCAGGGTCCACTGTACGATGAACGGCCCGGACGAAGGCAAGGTTTTCACAGAAGTTCTGCTTCTCTGTGCGATCAGATGTCCCTCCTCGCCGCCACGCTCCCTCTCATGACTCACACCTGCAAGACTAAACACTTCTGAGACGCGGCTCGCCAATCCCAGGAAAGGTGTAGCTTCTGGCCGCCTGTGCCCACGGCACTCTCCTTGCAACTTCGATCCCTTACCTGGCTTTGCTTCTCCTTTCTGTTTCTGCTGTCTGGGGTTCCTGACCACATTCTGGGCTTCTGGTCTACCCACCGTCTTCAGCCCCTCATGATTTCAGCTCTGTGCCCGCTCTCTGCCTGAGATACTTCCTTTCCTGCCTTTGCTCTGAGCAGAGCCAGCCTTCTGAGTAGGGCTGACGAGGGCGGCCAGACCCTCTCTACAGCCCAGGATCTCAGTTCGACCTTGACCACTGACCTGAAGTCCTTGGCCATCTTCACACCCCTCCTGGATCAATGCTCCGAGCCCTCCCAGATCTCTCCAACACAGATCCCAGTGTTGTGTTGAAACCTCCGCGGCAACAGGAGCCCTCCGCTACTAGACATCCCTTCACAGCTGCCTTATTTCATTCACAGTTGTCGGGTGGGACCAGGCACTGGCTGCTTCCCTTAGAAATAGAGCCTCAAGGCTTAGAGCAACAATTTGCTCCTCAGATAACCTCCTTCCAGAGCTGCAGCTGGTGTTACAAGTGTTTACCATAAAGGATTTCAGTGTATTCGGCATCAGACTCCATCTCTAGGTAAAGTGGGCATCATTTCATGCAGAAATCACACAGTTTCCTCCCTCCTTCCTAGAGTGGCCCATGTGCTTGTCTGTCAACCACCGAGTGTCTCTATCTCTCTGCTCATCCATAAAACATACCATTCACATCAAAATCATACAAAGCCATATATGAGATGAAAATAAAGTACTAATGACATTAATATTTTTAAAAAAATTTAAATGGTGTTGACGGTATTTTATCTCAGTGACCGTAAAATATTTTTAAGCAACTGAAGGTGGTGCCTGGGTGGCTCAGTCGGTTCAGCAGCTGCCTTCAGCTCAGGTCATGGTCCCAGGGTCCTGGGATCGAGTCCCGTGTCGGGCTGCCTGCTCAGTGGGAGTTTGCTTCTCCCTCTCCCTCTGCCCTCCTACCTGGTCCTGCATGCTCTTTCTCTCTCTCTCAAACACATAAATAAAATCTTTTTTTTTTTAAGATTTTATTCATTTACTTGACAGACAGAGATCACAAGTAGGCAGAGAGACAGGCAGAGAGAGAGGGAGAAGCAGGCTTCCCGCCGAGCAGAGAGCCCAATGAGGAACTCGATCCCAGGACCCTGGGACCATGACCCGAGCCGAAGGCAGAGGCTTTAACCCACTGAGCCACCCAGGCGCCCCAATAAATCTTTTTTTTTAAAAAGTATTTTTAAGCAATTTAAGACTAATGTTCAGTGAGCAAAGGTTCACAAAGGAGTCTTCTCATTGTTAATCACGGCTCAGATTTCCTACATCTTAAACTACTTCTACCAGCTTTCTGTTACTTGCAAGCACACGGACCTCCGCCTTGCAGAAATGCGTCTGTTTTTGTTCCAAACCACGTGACAATTTTTCAACCCTATCGTTTAATATACTGAAAAAGGAAGCCAGACACAATGCGAGGTAGCTGCGTCCAAACACAGGCATTTCTATTCCGGTCTCGAATAATCCACATCCACGCAGAAGAGCCCCTTAAACGCAAACTCTCCATTCCGAAGACAAGCCCAGCAACTGTGCGACACGGGCCTGCACCCCCGTTCCCACCTTCCCCTTTCTTAAAGTCACTGTTTAATCAGTACATTAAAAAAAAAAAGAAAAAAAGAAAAAAAGAACAATCCTTCAATGACCACCCGTGTCAAAGGTAAGTCAACACAACGAAATTTTTTAAAGTCCAGGAGCAAAGACACAAGATGATTGTGAGTTCAATTATGACGGTCCATCCACTGCTCCAGTGTTTCTGTCCAGAAGGGTATCCGCTCAGAGGGCCGGCCAGGGAAACTTCCAGCTGGCCCCTGGAGACCTCGAAACAAACAGGATAGACAGCCCCCATGTTTGAGGCAATACTTCCCAGCCAGGGCTGAACTCTCTCGTTCGCGTTCCCCGTTCATCCTATAAAGACCCCAACATGCATTTACTGGAGTGAGCTAAAGAAACGTCCAAAACGAGATGACTTCTCGATATTCATTCCAATTCCATATTCTATGGTTCAGTCGATAAGCATGCATTAAACACCACCAACGTACCACACACACACACACACACACACACAAACAATCAGAGGGGGAAGGAGAAAAACAAAGAAGAGCTATCAAAGATCCAGCCTTAGAAGAAATTCCAGAAGGAACAGGTTTACCGCAGCCTATAAAAATCACTACTGCCATGACGATGGCGACCCGAGGATTTACAGGAGTGAATCTTGATTTGAAACAGGAAAGCACAAGACTTGGAAGGGTAAAGAAAAGTTTATGGGAAAGTGGCTTCGTAAATTTAGCTCTGGAGGCTGGGTCTTAAAATACCGGGTTTAGGCATTTAAGTCTGATCAAAAAACGCAAAGGGAGTCATTGACATTCTTAAAAAATAGA